GGTGAGGGTTGAGGAGCAAGAAAAGATTAACTTCGCATCTTCTTTGAACCAAAAAGTAGCTTATTTTAATAAGTAAAGTGTGTCTGCTTTGCACTGTGTTCTTTCAAGGAATAATCTATGTGAGATCAAATTGACAACAACAAATTGAAAGTTTAGATGCCAAACTTAGGAGACAGTGAGTTTAAACCAGAGGCGATTGTATAGTTTGGAAAAGGAAACGAGAGTTTTCTCACTAACAAAAGGTGATTGAGGCTTTTCTCTGGGAAGTGTGGGGAGGTGAGAGCTACCTGTTGTCTGGGGCCACAGCAGGAATAGAATCAGCTGGGTCAACAAAAGGGCATGCTATTTAGGGAAATTTAACTGACCAATTGTTTGATATGGTATGTTGTAAATCCAGCTCATAAATATGTTAGTAAAATGGGTATTTACTATCCTAAAGAAATTAATTTTAACTTCTTATTCTCTTTGCATTGCTCAGGGTAACTTACAGACCCTTATGAACAAATGATACAGATGGTTCTCAAAATATTTTTCCTATCAAGGGAGAAAAGGAAACGCTAAGTACATGTGCTATTTTAGCTAAAGTGTAGGTGATTATAAGTGAAAATCTATATAAAATAAATAGCGTATTTTATTAAAAGATAGGTTACTAGAAAAGCAAGTCATTCTCACTGCATTTATTTCCGTTTGTGATTAAAAGTAGCTCTGTCATGTTTAGGTTTTGTTTTTGTTTTCTTTCTCTCGTGTTCCAGGGACTTTGAAGGCAACCATATCCATACTTTAAGAAATTTGACTTTTACTTCCTGCAAAAATTTAACTGTTTTGTAAGTAATGTTTTATCCTTTTAAAATAAAGTGACATCCCTTTACTCACAAAATGAGTCATTTATATGGACAGAAACTAGCCTAAACCTGCATAGTAATTCTGATAAAAATTTACACTCAACTTGAGGTTTCTAGAACATGAAGTACATGGTCAAAATTCCTGAAGTTCAGACCAAGTGCAAGCGCAAACTCACAATATACACAAATTATTACAGCAGGACATGGTTACCTAAGATTCATTTTAAAGGGGGAAAATATTCTTGTCAAATGCCAAGAATCTGTTTGAGAAAAACTAAAGTGTTAGTCTTTAAGAGCATTTGTCATTTGCAAATGATTACTACAAAGACAGTTTTCTTTGTCACTCTACAAAATTAATTCTAGTCAAATTTTAAAATAAATTCTGCACAATTATCAAGCCTCTAAAGGCATAATTGTGAACAGTAGTATAAACCTTAGAGTATGGATTATAATTCCCTCTTTTGCCTGCTTGGCACCTTTCAAATGCCCATTGCCTCTTCCATGTCTATGAAAGAAGCTGGGGCCTCCTTCCTTCGATATGAAAAGACAACTGTCTCACCCCATTTATTTTCCGACAACAATTTTTTTAAGCTGTGGGTTGCAGCTCACAAGTGAATGCTGAAAGCATTGATGCAAGATCAATTTAGTATGTCCTGACCAGCATTTTAAGAAATTAAATAGAATAGAACTGAATGGAGTACAATATATCAGGAGTGCAGAGCAAATAATATAAGATCGTATACGTGTAAATATTTTATGTCTCAATGTAAAATGAATTTTTTACTGTGGGTTGCCTTTGAAAATGTTTGGAAACCATCATCCATGGAGTACATAAGGCCCCTGTGTTTTAGCAGTATAATAGCTTCCACTGCTGCGGCAATGTATTTTCTTTAATATGCACCCACACACACACTTCTAGTGAGTTCAAAGCTACTGGAAAGTTTGAACTCTTCTGCTGAGTGAGTTTAGCAATATTCAGATGCAAGGTGCTTTCTATTAGCAATGCAGAATAGTCCATGAACAACATGATGGACACAATGAATGTCCCCAAATTGTACTTGTGAAGCTTATTAAAATGACAAGTGTTTGGTTTCTTATATGTTTAGCACAATTTTTTAAAGGTACTTAACGCTAATTGCCAAAAGGAAGCCAAATTGCGCCTTAAGAAATAAATCTGGAAAAACATTAGAATTTTTTTTCTTTTTTTTTTTCTTTTTAGAATTTATTTTGTGTTCTATTTGCATTTGTTCAAAAGAAAACTTTTGTATGGAAAAAACATCTGTGTTTTACATGTACATATTTCAATATCTTTTCATAGATATGTATTTGTCAGGAGCAATATA